AGAAAAAACTAAATTAATTAACTAGCTAACTAAACAGGAATAAAAGTAACAGTATAACTAAAAGACCTAAACATCACATTCATTCTTATTCTCATTTATTCTCGTGGAATGATGTGTTGAGATTGTAATTCCTTGTGTCGAAGCAATGTAGATTGACAGAAACAAGGATTAGTCGAAATTAGCCTAAGGTGTGCGTGTGTGTCGAGTTGTTTAGATGTCGAAGTGTCGAAGCAGATTGTTTGACACAAAATTTCGACTTAGACCAAAATTAGTAATTTTGGCCTTTTGTAGTTTTGGTATTTCTTCTATTATAAATAGAGGGAGTAACCCCTATAAATAGAGGATTTCTTCAGAAGGAAGGAATCGACTTCGACGAAGTTTTTACACCCGTTGCTAGGATCAAAACAATCAGGTTGGTTGTTGGTCTAACAAACATGAAAAATTGGCACACATGTCAAATGGATGTGAAATTTGCATTCATGAATGACCCCTTGAACGAAGAAGTTTATGTTGCACAACCAGTTGGGTTTGTGAAACAATGCGAGGAAAGAAAGGTGTACAGACTTCATAAAGCCCTGTATGGACTTAAGCAAACTCTAAGAGCTTGGAATAAGAAGATAAACAACTTTCTAAAGGATAAAGAATTTGTAAGTGCACGACTGAGCATGAAGTATATGTAAGGGGGAACAATAATAAATTTATGGTGGCGCGGGGCAGACATGCACGGTTAGCATTTCAACACCTAATCAGGTTGGTTGTTGGTCTAGTAAACATGAAAAATTGACAACATGTCAAATGGATGTGAAATATGCATTCATGAATAACCCCTTAGACGAAGAAGTTTATGTTGCACAACCAGTTGTATTTGTGAAACAAGGCAAGGAAAGAAAGGTGTACAGGCTTCATAAAGCCCTGTATGGACTTAAGCAAGCTCTAAGAGCTTAGAATAAGAAGATAGACAGTTTTTTAAGGGATAAAGAATTTGTAAGTGCACGGCTGAGCATGGAGTATATGTAAGGGGAAGCAATAATAAATTTATCATGGCATGGGGCAGACATGCATGGTTAGCATTTCAACACCTAAATAAGTTTGAGATTTAAGGTGAGTATAATGAAAGTGAAGATCAGAGATTGTACTTTGTTCTTTGCATGTCAACTATGTTTATACTTTGGGCCGAGTAAAGTTGATTTGATATGGATTGGGCCTTGGTCGATTGAGCCTTTGAATGGTCTATCACAATTTCCTTCAAGACTTTGTCGGACACTAAAGGACCTGAAGGATGCCCTAAGTATTATTGATCGGCCTTCATGTCATGATACGATATGGAATGGATCTAAAATGCCTGGGGTCATTTTTTTTTGAAAAAGTAATGGGGAAGAAATACATTTAATGCGATCGAGTCAGATAAATCCACGATTCAAATCAAGATTACATAATCAAAATCTAAAATTTGCAACCAAGATTTGATTCGATTTAAGCCTTTTTGTGATTTGAATCAAAACCTTCACGATTCGAGTCAGACTTTTCAGTGATTCAAATCAAATACACAAAAGAAAAATCTTGTTTTACATAATCCATATTTAATTCAAGTCACCCTTTTCCATGATTCAAATGAAACACTCAAAAATAAATTCCGATTTTCACATTCAATTTGATTTGAGTAAGCCAATTTCCTGATTCGATTCACATTTTAAAAAATTCAAATTTTAACAAAAATGAAATGTTATTTTAAATGAGACTTGACACGACTTAAATCATTCTTTCATGTATTTCTTGATCCAAACCTCATACTAATTTACTAGAAATGTATTGCATTGAATTTAAGAAAATAGTTTGATTTATGCATGCGTAAAAACGATTTAGTACTCAACTCTAGAATGCCCAACTATGTGAGAAGACTCAATTGCAACGAACAAAGCAAAATACTAAATTTATATGCAACAAAATATAAATTATGGCAAACTCAAGGAGGAAGAGCAACTCTAGAGAGGGATGATCATGAAGAATTGGTCTTTGAAGTGCTTCACATTATCCAAATAAATGTAAAACATATTGGCATATTGCTGAAGAGATATGAAACCCCATCCATTTGAAGAACCAGTCGTGCTTCATTGAGCTTTACAGAGGTGGAAAAATGTTTGAGTTAACACTCTCTTCTAGTATTCACACCACTATTGAAAGACTTTAATGTAAGCTCACCTCACCTAGTGCAGTTGTGGAAAGCTAATTAAGAGGTGATAATAAAGTCGACTTTAAAATTATTATAAGGGAGATGGGAACCTATCAAAGAGAAAAAACACTCACGAAGAGGAATGACACACGTTATACTTACTACAAAATCTCTTATATATATTTCTTAGGAATGAGTACTCCCTAGTCAGACAGAGGCCCCCTCAATGAAAGCTTGATATAAACCCCTCTCAGAGGTGAAAAGTAGAGGTAGTTTCCAATGCCTCATGATCTACCTACATTGACGAATTGTCTCCATTTGCTTTACGAACCATATTAAGCCGATTTTCCATTTTGAAGAATATTGTCAACATAAAAAGGAAAATATAAAGAAACAACAAACTAATCAAACATGCCAATGACAACAATTTGAATATTATAAGTATCTTAAATTTACTATCCAGAAACTCTAACAGACAAGGAATCGAAAACAAGAAAAAAAATGTAGGTTTTACCTTAAAAGAACACTGTTGATCACTTATGTGCTTCAGATATCACCAAACGAGATATCACATATGAATCTAATCTAAAAATTAGTGTAAAAGAGCTCACAAGAATGGGGAAGTTGGAAATATAGGGAAGAAGAGCTTTTGCAGCTCGCAATTGGAAAAAGAGAGAAAGTGATGCTTTAGGAACCCTTTATGTGTGCCTTAGCCACATGGGACCATACAATCCACTATGTTGGGAAATGCGAGACACGCTACCAACGACCGAGATTTTATAAAAGAATGTTCATAGTACTCTAATACCTTGAGGAAAATGAAACATCATTTCTCACTAGTATAGAGACACACATCAAAGACTCCATATAAAATATTACATATTATAAGAAAGACATTTAATGCATCTACTCTTAATGATAGTGACGTCCTATCAAGGATCTTTGTCTCATTTGTCTCATTAGGCCAAGTAGTCAAACTAGGGCATATACATCAAACTCTCCTCCTACAAAATAGAAACAATGGTTTTGGGGACAACTGTTATGGGTCACTTGCAAGGCCAAAGTGAAGGCCCAAAGGAAAAGCTAAGGAAGTGAATTCCAGGAATAAAAAAAGTGATATCATATCATATGCCTGACTGAATCCATATTCACAAAAACACAGTCTCGCCAAGTCAGCAAAAGAGATCGAATGCGGGTTGCTTCATTAGATTCCTGATATACTTCTGATCCAACTGATGTACTCGCGCAGATGCGTTGGCAAGTGCATTTTGAGCCGTTAGATATCGTCCTTCGGAAATTCCTTTCTTATAAGAGCGGGTTTCTGTAATTTCTCTTTCACTTTCAAAACCTCCTAGGTTGTCTCTTTTTTCTAACAGGTAACAAACTCATCACTTTTATTTATTTTTTAATTATTCATTATTTATAGCTTCTTCATTTGATTAAATTGTTGGAAAATTTTGCAAGAAATTCAATGTAAAGTAGCATATCAAAGTTTGCAACTCGTTGACTCATACTGTTGTTATTTTTTTCTTGTATTTTTGGGCAATGTTATAAAGTTTTTGTGCATGTGACTTTGGATTGTTTTATGTTGCTGTTCTGGTTTGAAGTAATCTTGGAATGTTGTAAAATGTTGTAATTCACTGTTTTTTTTAGCTTCTGATGAAAATACATATATTTTTCAAGAACTATAGTGTTTGAAGTCAAAATTTTTCATTTTGCATCAGAGATTATACGGGGATTGATTGGTTTGAGAGGTTTGTTCTTTGATCTGTGTTGCATGATTCTGGAGTGCCTAGTGGTTAATTTGTTAGTATTAGGGATAAAACTATGGAAGATGTTTTTTCTAAATCACTGGATTTTCCGAGCAAAACTCTGTATGGACGAGGCCAAACACAGGATTGTTTGCACCTAAGACCTTGAGAGGAGCACTCTCTTAGTATCCAGGCCTTCACCATTAGGCCAACCCTGGGGAATTTATAGAAAATTTTGGGTCTGTAATGGAGCGGTAGCAACATTTTGCGACCGTAACAGCATTTTGCGACCGTAACAGTATTTTGCGGCCGTAGAGACTTTTCCCCTTCTCATAAAACTAACATCAGTAATAGTTTTTCTTTGAGTACTAACGTCCACAGCACCCTTTATGTTTCTTGCAGAAGATGGGGTTCTGGACTGTGGTATGGACCTGGCTAGAAGGGTTTCTTCTCTTTGCAAATGCATTGGCAATTTTGAACGAGGACCGGTTCCTTGCTCGAAGAGGGTGGACATTAGCAGAAATGACAGGACCTAGAAGGAACACTCTTAAAGGACAAGTCATAGGACTCATTCACGTTTGTCAATATATGAGACTTCCTCTTATCTTTTTCAATATTCTCGTTATCACAAAGAAACTCATCGCCGGATAGCGAGTGAACATGTAAATTTTGGGTTTTATGCTCCGGCTATAGTTTACAACACTGTGAAAACTCAACTGAGGTATGTATAATTATCAGAATTTATCAGTTCAGGGTTGTATCTGTATTGAAGTTATCTTCACCATAACGAAAATGTAATTTTTGTCTTTCTTCTAAACGAAGACAAAGCCCCCATGTTATAGACTGCATTCACGTCACAATTGTCGTTGATATTGCAAAAACTTGTGTTCATATTGCATACATTAAAAACCTCTGCAGATTGTTTACAAAAACGCGTAGCTATGAAACATTTTGTATGAAAATTCAATAAAAAAACAATCTTCATTTCATCACTACAACATTAACAAGATTACAGAAGTAACAGAATACCAACAGAAAACACATAAAATTGATATTATGATTATTACATCTATGATGTTTCATTCAACAGGGATCATAACCTCATTAGTCCTAAACATTGGAATAGTCCAAGGTGGATTATACCTACCCAACAAGAAATCCCCAACAACCTTAAAACCATCTTTCTCCAAACTCAACTTCAACTTCTCCACCTTCTCCTTCACCACTTCATCACTAGCCACACCTCCAAACTTCACCACTCCATATTTCCTCTCCCCTTCCTCTCTTATCACAACCCTCTCATCAATAGGCTTAGGTGCATCCTCTGCTTTTCCGTAACTAGCTGGCAAAATAAACTGCATAGTCACCATCTTGTTCCTCTCATTTGTCACCACTGGTGCTGTCATAGCTATCTTCTCCGCAGAATCCTTTGTTATAACAGGTGCAGTCATGGCGATTTTCTCGGGTTTCGTGTTCTGAGGATTCCCTAATGCTCCAATATAGTTTGCTAGAATCATGAAGCCACCATCTTTGTTTCCTTTGAACTGTGATGGATCATAGGTGACTTCAGCTGCAACAGAAGGTGCATATTTTCTGACTTCATAATCTTGTGTGGTTTTGATTACTTCATATTTTGGTGTCTCAACACCAATTTTTCCAAATACCATACCCATCAAGGATTGAGAATGAATAAAGGTAAGATGAGAGGTGAAAGATGTAAGTAGCAGATTTTGATGACTTGTTGGTGTGTCTTTCAATCCTTTATATAATAAAGGATAAGAGATTTGGATTCGACGCAGTAACTGTGTCATCACATTTATTGATCGATCTCGACCGTTCAATTTCAAATCAACGGTTGAGATCAATATCTTCAGACGTTAATTCTCTCAGACTCGAAAAATTAATCTCTGCAGTTGTGAAAAAAATTGCAATCACGAAAGTTCTATGAGATAACTTGTGTAAGAGTTTTCTTTGAGAAGGGGTTAGCATTTCGAAATTCGAGATTCTAGATTTTGGTTATAGAATGAAAGGATGTTATTCTGCCACATTGCCAATGATGTTTGTGGACAAAATAATATGTGTCATTGAATTTAAATATTCTTCATTTAAGATTGTTTGATATGTAGGATAAAACACAAGATATAATAATTGTTTTATATATTGTGTAAATTCAGTGTTATAAAATGATATTATAAATTAATTTTGTTTCATCTCCTATAACACTGAATGAAATGTTTTTTTTTTAATTATCTTTTTTATTCATAATATTTTACAAGATATTATTATATGATGATTTGTCAAGTTTCACAAATAACACATCATTTAAAAATAGAAAAATAATCAATTTTAAATGTAAAAATATGAAGAAAAAAATTAAGACTGTTTAATTTTAAAATAGAGCAAATTTTGTGAATCGGGTGAATGAATTTATCATGATTTAAAAATAAAATGAATTTGGTTTCCAAATAATAATTTATAATTTAAATTTAATATTTATTTTATCATGTCAAAATTCTAAGTAAGTGGAGTTTGTAATTAAAACTCTGCAGCACTTTAATTAGCTTAAAAAAGAGTACACAATATTGAGGGATGGGAATATATCCAATCTTGTCAAACCACATCAAAATGTAATAATGAGTTGAAATAGAAATTACATACAATTCAAATAAAGCAAAAATGGTCTAAATTAAAATGGATCGAGGTCCGCCAAATATGTCTGTGTATTTGTCAAAAATAGCGAATTATATTGAGATTTTGTACTTATTTACCACCAAATATGTCTGTGCACCCGTTAAAAATAGCGGATTATATTGAGATTTTGTACTTATTTACCTGTTCAGTCCGTCATGTCTTAAACTCGCTAAAAAAAGGGATAAATTGCCTCGTCAGCCCGCTAACCTAGTTATTAATCACTCAAATCATTTTTTTTTATTGGTTGGAAGTTAATATTTGAATTATAGTTTTGGAATATTTGTTGATAATTTTATTTTATACATTTATTTGTTAATATGTGCAATATTTTTTAAAGTAAAATTTGTTAAAAAGATAATTTATAAAAAATGATTTTAAAAAATAAGTGAAAAATCTAATTTAAATGTAAAAATAAGACTATTAATATATTAAAAAATGAAAAATTAATAAATAAAAAAACAATCGGGCAAGCCGGCCACCTTGACTGGGCAGACTAGATTTTTAAGCCTAATTTTATTTGGCGGACTTGTACGGCCCGCCTCCCTTTTTGGCGGTCATAAGACAGGACGAAGCAGGCAACCCGTTTTGCCACCCCTAAATGATACTAAAGCAAATGCACACATCACATGTACTATCCAGTGAACCCACGTACATGCACAAAACTAGATAGCTAAAAAATGTATTGTGCGAACTTTCATAATCTTAAGTAACGAAGAATGAATAAACTACAAACACGAATCGATTCACGTACCAACAAACTTGTGCGAGAAATCACAACATACAAAAATAAATCTTTCAAGTCAAACAAACCTAGATCATGTCAAACCATAACTGATAAATCCATACGAGATCTATACGAGAAGGACCCAACACGACGACGACAAGGTCAATAGATTTAGAAAGAACCAAAGATCATAGTCAAGACACATAAACACCAACCAACAACTTGAAATATGTTGTGGCTTTATGTGCTTAACACATATAATATGTTTTTAAGATGATAAAGAGGATAAAAAAGATTTATCATAAACATCATCAAATGAAGGGATTGAAACAAATAAAAATGTGATAGGTTTTAGGTGATATGTGCAAATGAATCAAAAGTTAAATAACTTCACAAAAAATGAAGGAAACTGCAAAGAGCTTACATGTGATCCCTTCCATGTTTGTTTATTTATTCTCTTATAGAATTAAATCTAAAATTAAGAGTACGCTCTCAAAGTAACAAAGTAGTATTTGTTGGAACACAATTGATTTATACCATATCTCTGAGGTTTTGGTGACAACAAAGTAATTAAAGAAAAATATGGTATTCTAACAAATGTTCAAGTGTGCAAGACCATAGACTAAAATTTGTGAAGAGAACTTAGTACTGGTACTGAGAATGAACATTTAAATAGAAGCTAAAGATTCAGATTATGAAAGATCATAAGCCGAAGTCCGAACTCTGAAGAATAAGACTCTGAAGGAGGTCAACCTCTGAAGGAAGTTAACCTCTGAAGACTCAGATTTTGAAGGATCAGAACCTAAAGACTCTGAAGACTCGGACTTTGAAGTTAGTCAACACAAAGATCAAGAAGACTCTGATAGGTCACTATCAAACTCTGAGGTGAGTCAACGCAAAAATCAAGGATGCTCTGATAGGTCAATATCAAACTCTGAGGATATTTCGTCTTCTTTTAATCACGTGAAGACTTAAACAAAAATTTGTAAAAGATAGTTGGGATGCAACATAAAATTCCTTTTGTAGCAAAGGGATTTCAAATGAACTTTCAACGGTATTAACCATATCGAGAAACATCTCAACGTCTTTAAGTCAAGCTTCTCAAAGACTCCCTTATGCAATCTCTTCAACAACTCTTTTTATTCTCTATATAAGGATTCGAAGACTTAAATAATAGATAACGAGTCATTGACAACAAAAGAGATGTTACTCTATAAAAAAAGTACAAGTTTAACTTAGATTTTCTTAACACTTGTACATCTTCTAAATTTTTAAGTCTTAAAGGGTCTTTGTGTATTATATTTTCTCTACATATCTAATTGTATATCAAGTGTAGTTTTTCACAATCTCTTAACTGTAAGTTAGAGTTTAAGAAGTCTCTTGCTTGTGTGCTTGAGCATTAGAATTCTCTTACTTGTGTATTTGAGCATTGGAAGTCTATTGTTTTGTGCTTGAGCAATTGTAATCAGATTCCATTATAGTGAAATCCCTTAGAAGTAAAAGATGATTGGACTACTATAGATTTGTGTGAGGAACCAAGATAATTGTTTGTGTCTCTCTTTCTTTCCTTTCTACCTCTGAACTGTTTTAATCCACTGCTAAACACTTAATTCAGATTCAGATTATAGACTTTGTGTCAAGAATCTAATAGAGATTTTCAAAGAAGAAAGATAAAGCTAACACAATTCAACCTCATTCTTGTATTTCTATCTCCTTCAGTATCACACACACACATACACAAAGAGAAAAATATTTTTTATTTTTCAGGTCATAATTGATTGCGACTTAATCAATTACGATGGTGATTTAGACCAAAATTTTTCTTTGTTGGTAAAATTATTTACTATAAAATTAGGATTTGTGATCAATTGAAAAATACAAGAAATATGAAATAACTTGGATTATATTCACTCCTTCGCTTTTTAAACTTTCATATTCACTTAAATACTATTTTGAGCATTGAGAGAGGAAATCTTATATAGAGTTATCTTGTGTAGATCATTGGTAATTTATAACTTATAATCAAGAGAAAGTTGTTCTTTTCACTATGATATTTTGTTATAAAGGTTACAAGGTGAACTTGAGATAAAAATTTGGCGTGAGAATATTGTGATTTTGGGTTGAATCAAGATAAAATTTGATGTATTTCCTCAAATATATTATCTATTTATGTTGTTGTCTTTCTTTTCTCGTACATCTCTTACCCATCTTCTTCAAATCAACATTAAACTTTCTTTCTTTTAAAAGTTACAAAATTTTTATATATCACAATTTACCCCTTTTCTGCTGTTTAAAATCACTTGATCAACAAGTGACATCAATGTCTAACACCTATTTAACAATCAATCGTCTTAGGATGTAGGATTACTTCAAATGAATCACTAAGCAAACCTTCATCTTTCAATGGCGAAGGGCATGCTTATTGAAAATAAAAAATTAAAATTTTTACTGGAGGAATGAATTATGATATTTTGGATTTTGTTTAAAATGGTTCGTTTGTTCCAACACACTGAGTTAATGACGTAGTGGAAATCAAACAAAAAAATATATGGACCAAATGTCATAAAGAAAAAGTGAAGAACATTTTGAAAGGTAAAACTATCATCACTATTGCTTTAGGTATGTATGCGTTTTTCTTCTATGTTTCACACTACATTATTGATAAAGAAATATCAGACTCATTTCAAGTTATCTATGAAATAACCATTGAGATAAAAAGGGTTAGAATGAATACATTAATCCTTGACAATAAACTATTTACAATAAAGCCTAAAGAAAAAATTTTAGGAGATGAAAAAATGATTTATTCAGATTGGTAATCTTGTAAGAGCTATGGGTAGAAAATTTTAAAATTAGTATTTAATTAACAAAGTCTTTAGATGCTTAAACTGCAACTGACAACTTAAAGTCATTACAATTTATGAACATAAAAATTTATCTTCAATGAATTTGCCTACTCTGTTTGGTAAATTGCAAGAACACGAGATTGAACTAAACAATCTTGCTGAAAGAGAAGAAGACAATAATAAAAAGAAAGGAATCACACTAAAAGCTAGTGATGTCAAAGACATCAGTTAAAAGATGAAAATCACCCAAATAAAAGTGATGAAGAAACAAATATTAGATACTTGTTAGACATACAATTTTTGAAGTCAATGCCAAGAGGTTTAATACTAGAGGGCCATGTTTTAATATTATCTTCACTTTCACTTGGTGTCTCAAATTTTTGGTCTAGTGTGTTCATTCGTCCCCTTTTGA